CTGACTGACTGGACACTACAGCACAGAGACCCTGACTGACTGACTGGACACTACAGCACAGTGAAAGGTTCAGGTACAGACAGACAGGTACAAGTACAGACTGAAAGGTTCAGGTTCAGACTGACGGACGGAGAGAGAAACACGGACAATATTCCGACATACTTGATTCACTCGAGATCCTCTCTCTCGGGGCCACAGACTAACGCCAGGCTGTATTTCTCCTTCTTTCTGCCTCTCTTTATGTCCTGCTCCCCTTCTCTCCCTCGCCCTCACTCCGGTTCTCTCCTTTCCCGTCTTGTCGTCTTCTGGGTCTTTCCAAGAGACCAGAAGTATCAATTCCACATCCCGGGACCCACGGCCACTGACTGACGCGCCAGGCAGCCAATGACCGGCCACAGCGCCGCCCGTTAGCCAATGGGAGAGGTCTGGAGGCGGGCCCGGGGCGCTTCCGGGATCTCCTCGGCGATTTTTTTAAAGAGTAAAGTTTCCTGAAACTCTACACGACACGTGATCGTGGGCAGGGGCGGGGGGTCATGTGACTCGTCCACGGTGGCGTGTGTGTGTGGGGGGAATACCTGTCCACGCGTGGGCGCCCCTCCACTCCGGGAAACACTTCGAGTACAGGAATTAGATTTGTTTTGTCTCTTCATTACTTTTTGTTTACATTGCGACGGCAACAATATATTTTTTTCTCACCAAAAAAACTTTCTAACACAACAGACATGTTACAAAGAGCACACACTCTTAACAGTGCAATCGCCACTACATTACAAACAACAACAATAATATTCTATAAGAATTCCTCACGCAGATACAGCGCTTCTCTGGACACTCCTCTCAGGGCGCTGGACAGGTATTGGGGATCCCCTCCACCACCGGCAGGGTGTACCCCACCTGTACAATCTCCAGTCCGCTCACACCCCCGCTCTCAGTGGGGAGGAGAGCAGAGGGATGGAGCCAGTTCAGAGAGGGGGGTTATTAGGAGGCCATGATGGGTAAAGGCCAGGGGGAAATTTGGCCAGGACACCATGAACTCTGTGGTCATTAACAATCCAGGGGCGTCTCTCGTGAAGAGTAGGGGTGTCACCCCGGTGTCCAGGCCACATTTCCCCCTGGAGCTATTTTGATTCTGACAGGTATGGGAATTTGGCGATTAGATTTGTTATTATTACTGTATTACTGTATGAGTGGAGTGTCCAGCAATTCCTAATGAATGATGATTACAGCAGCCATATCACCATATCATAT